AGGCGTTCCGCCAGGTATCAAGGCCCTAAACCGTTTAGGGCTTTGAATGTAAGCATCAACACTTTGAAGTCGATGCGGAACCGGATGGGCAGCCAATGCAATGCAGCCAGAGTGGGAGAAATGTGCTGGTATTTTTTCACTCCACTAAGTAGTCTAGCCGCTGCATTCTGCACCACCTGAAGTTTCCGCAGCAGCATCAAAGGCAGCCCCACGTAGTTCAGAAGCAAAATAAAATGAGATCTAGGAAATGTCAGCTCAGTCGTGGCTGTACCAGCAAAGAATCAAGCGTGAGCATGATGGGAAAGTGTGAACCCCTTGTGTAACTGTAGGGATGTTAACCAGAAAAATGGCACAGGGCTATTCCAGGGGAGAGGAAAGTACCCACAATAAATGGGAAGAGCTCGAGCAAGCCATGGCTTTCAACTTTCCATGTCTAAAAGCTTAGAAGAGGAAAGTATGGACACTCTTTAACACTGACATCATTGTGCTTCATTCAAGGTCAAGATAGCAACCAGCTATCTTTGTAGCACACAGAGATTTTTACTGATAAGAAATGTTTCTGCTTCTTGGCTAAGCATTGCTGAGCAAGTGCACATTATACACAAAGAGTATCGCTTAGCAAGATCTGTACCTTTGGAGATGATACTTTGACATGGACAATAATTGGAGCTAAGGACGTTTTGATAAGTTGTGCTGGGTGATTGATTGTATCTGCATCTAGAACAACCAACTGCAAAGATCGTGCCAATTCAAAAATTCGTTCTATTTCACTCTGCACTTCCGCTGCAAAACAGAAAATGAAAGAGTCATAATCAGAACATCAACATAACTGCACTCTCAGTTCAAATCTTGTAGCCTCTTACAAATCAAGGCCCCACAAATGTTTCGTATGTAATGCAACTTCTCACATTGATTCTCATTCTGAGAAAGGATCTTGGAATAAGATTCTTAGAACGAGAAGAGTTTCTGACTCTTCTCATCTAACTACTTACTAACACTTACACAATGCCCCAAATCCCTGTTGTTTTGTGTAGTAAATCACACTAGAGTAGGCCCATTAAATCAGTGAGGATTTTGTGACTCGACTCTTCTGTACGGTCAATTGTTTCAAATGGGCCAACTGTAATTGTAACCTACTTTAGCACAGTAAGTCACAGTTACATTAGAACTAATGGGATTTATGGAGGAGTTAATGTTGTAAATCCCCATCACTTCAACAGACCTACTCTAGTGTGATTCGCTATGTTAAGCAATAGGGTTTTGGCCCGTAAATATTCAATTGTGTTTGTTAATACGAGTCATCAATAATGTTGTCAACCCCATGCATAACTCTTCAGGGGAAAAAACCTCTTCTTTTATCCTGTGGTAAAAGCAAAGAAGTTTCATGGCATTCTTTAAAAGCAACAAGAATTTGTCCTACAGAGTTTGGTTTATTGGGATGTGGGGTATGTGGGTTTCATAGTACACTCTCTGCTCAACCATGAACTTCTTCATGCACTTCCACTGAGAAGAAGACCCTTCATCACAGAGACAACTCCTCTCACTGTCCTGGTACCTGATTGCTAGCAACACAAAGTTGCACTGAGAACAAAAAGGGAAAGGGGGCTGTACAACAAGTCATCTCGGAGAAATTCTCGATGGAATCAATCAAAAGTTGTTTCATTCAACAGAAGGAGAAGAGAGAGCAGGAAACAATTTGGAAACAATTGGGTAAGATACAACTGGAAAACAGTAAGGCAGAACAAAGGCTAAGAGCTGAAGATAAGGAATTAAGTAGGACAAACCCATGCTTTTGTGACACTGCTGACCCAAAGATACAAGCCATCAGCATGAAGCCTTAATTATCTATGTACTTAGGGTATATGATGCACCCATCTGCAAAAAACAAAGCATGTTCGGGTTGGGTTGATTTCTGGATGGGAGATTCCAGTAAACTCCATGTATGCCCCATGAAGGAAGAAAGACTCAAGAAGTATGTAAGTGAATAATATCTTACCTAAACTGGACCTAGTATTAGACCGCTCAATTATTGCCCTCTTGCTTGGATTATTGAGAACAGACCTCTTAGCAAGAGAAATGTCAGCTGTCACTCTAGTTATTGATATCCTATAAAGAAAAAAAACCATAGGACAGAGTAAAATGATTTCTTTGAAGATTTTCATGCAAAAACATCTAAAGGAAAATATTGGGATATTGCCATTTACAACATTAGCTTTTTAAAGGAGACACAGTACTGTAGTTTATTAATGAATTCATGCATTACCAAAACAGATAAGTTCAGGGAAATGGCAATTTATAGTTTCAGTTAAAAGAGATATTAATGGAAGTCCAACTCCATTAAAATCATAAAGAAATCAATAATAAAAAAAAACCTTGTCTGCCTGATCTGTGGTGCAGGCAGACAAGATTTGCAACATGTCATTATCATTGTTTGTTGATTACTTGGATGCATGTTCTACTAAAATAAGAGCCATCTGAAATATTATTGAGAACCATCTAAAATATCTAGACTTGAGAGATGCCATTATACAAATATTGATGTAATCTGTAGGGTAACACAGTGACATCAGATCAGCAGCTTTGCATATTCTCTGTTATAGCAGACCACTCAAACGGGCAAGGACAGTGCTACAAGGACCTTTGAGTCACCACCATCAAATGCTTCCTGGTGTTCCCACCATGCAAAAGGATGCCTCTCTCTAAAGAGCTACCTATCTCTTTTTTGCACAGGAAGATGGCAACAAGCATTAAGTTTCTTGTGAATTGCTTAGCGTTATGTACAAAGCTTCCCCTTGTGTGCCAAATTGATCAAGATGCTTTAAGTGGATTCATAGTTGCCTCACAATGTCAGAATTGTGGTGTTTCAAAGTTCTGCACCCTCGTTTTTCCAGCACATCAACTGAAGACTTCTGGAGTTAGCTGAACCGCCATTTTTCTTTCCAGAAGATAACGTGCAAGCCACTGCTCCCCTGCCAGCCTGGTGGGAAGGGAATGGTAAGTCACCATGTTCCAAGCTGCAGGGATCTTGAAGAACAAAACGAAACAAAAACAGTCTACTGCTCCTTCTGTGGGGGGAATCTTTGAATCAATGTACAGTGGGTGAGGGTCCTTGGTTTGGCAGAAGCGCTAAATTATAGAGGAGAAAGTTGAACCCAGACCCACTGAGGAGGATTTTTTCACTCCTTCTTCTGTGCCAAACAGACATAGCTGGCATGTGTTGGTTGTGATGCTCCTCAGTATCTTCCATGTATGATACAAAAATACCCTCCACAAAAGAGTTTATTCATAGCAACTCTTGGCTTGCCACTGACAGTTGCCATGGTTTTCTCTAGAAAAACAATGACGTTCCATTACCATAGTCATATGCCACACTGAAAGGCATCTGACAGCCACAGTGACAGAACACCTGCTCTATGTTCCACATTTAACATAAATGTTTGTATTGAAAGTGATGCAACAAGCTGCAAGGAAATCAGATTGTTCAGAACTTCTGGAAAGTGGAGAGGAGAGGTGCCAATGAGAAATGGGACTGATAAGACAGCTCAAAGGGATGACACATTTAACTACAGAAAGGCTTCATCCAACAACATCCAGAATGTACCCACCTAACTATATAAATCACCTCTGAAGGGCTTGCTCACGTCACCTTAGCTGCCCAGAGAGCAAAATCTCAATAACACAATACCATTAAGTTATACTTCTCCTTACTCTGATCAGATCTTAGATCTGTTTCTCCTTTCCTTGAGCAAGGGAAATCAGGAACATCTCTGAACATAGGGTTTAGGACAGTGGTTAGGGTTACTGATAAGATCAGCTTCTACATCTCCTTAACCCACTGAGAACCCACTAACTGGGGACAATCTATTGGAAGAGACCTTTGGGTAGTGTGGGTGGCATATAAATTAAATAAATAAAATAGATAAATAGATAAATAGATAAA